GTATGGGGAGGAGGGTCGTGTGAGTGTTCAAGATCTTGCAGGGTGGAGGTAGAAGATGTTCTCACAGGGGAAGGGGATGCGAAAGGGAAGGGTTGGTAGGAGGACTGGTCGTGGGTAGGAGAGGGGAGGGAGGACGGGGTTTGGGGGAAGGGGGGTGAAACTGCTGCGAGTGATGCTGCCTCTTCGCATTCCTGCTTCTGAGAGTTTTAGCCATGTAATTTGTTGATGGTGGACTGCTGGTCACAGAACATTCCAATCAGCAAGTCTTTCTTGTTTTCGATGATGTCTTGATTGATAGCTGGCTCGTTATGTGTCTGGGTACCTTGGTGACTTGATTTGTGGAAAAAATTACAAAGGGCGTGGATTTTTTTGGTGGTGACCAATCTGTAATTAGATTGTTTGTTGTTGTCGTTGCGAACACTAATTTGTCATTAATCAAACACTGGTCAATCATTGTATGCACGATGACCATTATCATCCTTTTGATGTCACGTGTCGTGTTCCTTAGTTTTCTAGATTCCGATATGTCTAAATGATGTTGTGAGCCTGATTAATTTCTTCAGGGCTGTACAGCTTCTTTATATGGTCGCACAAGACCATCCTTGCCCATGCTCTCTTTGTTGCGATAAAGCAAAGGATGGTGTTCAGCACTACTGTTATGTTGCCTATTTGATACACTGCTTTTTTGTTGTAATCACTGTTATCAATGTCGTCACTGTTGTCACTGGATGCACTGTTTTCATTGGAAGGATACCAGGGTTGCTAAGTAGCCCTGTACCTTGGGCCGAGGGGCAGCCTTGACCCCGGCTGTCGAGGGGGTGCCCATTAACATGGGCAGTGGGGCAGCTTTGACCCGCGCTGCCGTGGGGCCTGTTTCCTTGAGCCCCGTTACCCTGGGGAGGGGGGCATGATACCCTGGGCCAAGGGTTCCCCTTCACTCTGGAGAAGAGAGCTCGGGCTAGCTGCCCGAGGAAGCACCGGGGAAGCCCCCTGGCTGGCCCCCTTCGACCCGGGGAGGGTAGTCAGGATGCCCTCTGACTTTGTGGGACCATGTGACGGCATGGTTTGCTGAGTCCCTCAGTCCCTCTTATGACAATAGCAAAAACACGTCCGATCGCTACGGCGGCTAGACTCAGAAGGCTCGGACAAGTTCGAACTGCCTGGCGAGTGCATTGGCAATGTCTCTAGGTGAATCGAAATTGGCTCCCTTAATTTTTTTATTATTATTGTTACGCCGGCCGCCTCTCTACCTGCCACCAACACGAGGCAGGCTAGGCAGACGCGTGTTATTCACAAGGTCGTGAACACTGAACAGCTCCAAGAGGCACCGAGTACCACGCCGTCCCAAAACACCACGAGGGGAAACGCCAGGGCGAGGCAGGGCACGAAAGAAAAAGCTCACAATGACAGTCTTTCCTTTATTTACACCAGTTATTTACCCGTACACTTTTCTATAGGCACAATACAGGAGGCAAACCAGCACGTCACACTGCACAATACAACTTATAACAGGGCAACACAAAGTATATCAGGCTGGAGAAGGGCACACGCGAGGTCATCACGGGAGCGGCACCAAAACTCGTCTCCCCGCCTGCTCCCGTTCCTCCCGCTCCTCAGCCAGCCGCGTCATTTTCATGCTAACACACGTTAACACGCGTTCGCACAAAGACAAAGACCCTCTGGCGTAGCATTATTATTATTTATTGACAGTGGACCAAACCTCTGATATTGTGGTGTTGCTGTTAACTGTAGAGACAAAGCTCTGCCAGGAGTCTCTTTTTGCTTATCTAATTGCCCTAGCTCTTGCTGTTTGTAATTTAAAAGTTCTCATTATTGATATTTTTGAAAAGCCTGTAGGCCTTATTGTGTCGGCACAGCGCCCTGCGGCAATCTGGTGTCCACCATGGAACTATGCTTAACGATATCTGTCGAAGTTTTAGGAATGGATATCATTGCTGCTTCTAAGATCGAATTCTAAATATTGTTCATTGTTCGAGCTTGATGCTCCTTGTGAAGACGACCCAGTTTGCTCTTTTTCGTTAAATATAGACGCTGAATGCGTTCTTGTTGTGTCGCATGAATATTCAATCTAAATGGGAAGGTGATCGCTTCCCAACGAGCCGGTTATTGATGAAGAGACCAGTGATAGGTCAATAAGGCTCAAAGTACCGGTATTATCGTCCGCGTCGGACTAGCATCGTTCAGAGGGACCAGATCAGAATCATTAATCAAATTAACTACTTGCTCACCTCTACCATCCGCCCGCATAGAACCTCATACCGTATGATAAGCATTAAAATCATCTAATATTGATTTATTTTGTAGCAGACTATCCTGGAGAGCAAAAAGCTCACCATAAATTACCACATTATCAGATGGACAATAAACATGTAGTCAGGGACGTGTTATTGATTTTTACTTTGCATGCGACATACTCCAAAGTAGAATCAATTGCCACTTCAGTGAAAGGGAGGCTTTGGTGGATGTACATGGCGACTCTGCCTCCACCCCTACCCTCACGATCCTTTCGACACTGATGGTAGTTCCTCAGCGAAAAGACTTCATCTGACACGAGGTTGATTAAATGCGTTTCTTGGAGAACTATAATATCGGGAGCATAAGAGAAGACTAATAATCTAAGGTCATTTACTTTAGTTCTAAGACAGTTCCATAGTATAATGGTTAAAGCAAAGATTATGTTTTGTGGAATTTGGAAGGGCCTTGTCCGCCGATTTTAATTTTCTTTTTTTTCTGGGACGGAGGTTCGTCCTCCTCTCCCTCACTACCCTTGGGGCATCCATGGGTATTTTTAAAGACAGTAACCTCTATGTCCTGCATCTCGCTGCCAGGGATACGCCCAGTAGATGATCTGTTCTGAGAAACAGACCCAAAAACCAGCAAAGTCCTAGCAGGAGCCACCTGGATGAAGTGTCATCAAAATTGTGTTTTGGTATCATTCTCCTTAAGATGCTGATGAGGCTGCTTTTGCTGGGTAGACTCAGCAATTTATTGAATTGTATTATTCAATTCTTTAATCTGACTTATTAATTCTTCAACCGTTTCCTTTAATTCTGCAATTTCTTTTATCTTTAGTCGCAAGCTCCTGACTGATGCTGTTTGCATTGGGAGTATTGTTAGTTGCTGCTGAAGTGTAGGAAGTACTGAGTTTGCTGGTTACACCTTCAACTTTCCTCTTGTCTTCACGGTAACTAACAGCATGCCCTCTCATGTCTCCTTCTTCAAGCTGCTGCACACGGCAAAGCCAGACTTGAGAGTGTTCTCAATACATTCAGCAGTGTCACGAGTCCTTGCACCTGTACCACAAGTAAATTTACTAGTATCTTTATCATTGCATGGTAATGAGGTGTGTCCAAATTTTTAGTATCTATTACAGTGCATAGGTTTTTTAATATAAGGTCGCACTTGGACACGTTCGTATCCAACTATGACACACAATTCGGTTTTTGTTTGCACATTTCAGTCTTTCTTGGTCATACAGTTGACATCTACTACACTTTGGTCCTTCATAATCTCCTCCATTGTCCTCAAATCCCTGTTAAAGATTAATCCTTTGCAGGTATTGGGCCAATAGGGATAGTTACTTTATCTTTCAAATCATGAATCAACGTCAATTTAAATAAGTCATGAACCTGGGAGTTGAATGGCACTTTTACAAGGAGGTTACCATCTCGCAATTTACGGACCAAATCAAAATCGCCGTCTGCCTAAAAGCGATTGATTTTCATTTCACTCTGGGCCCGTGCCCGTTATCCTGAAGATAACCCTCAACTATTAATGATCAACCTAACAGCAATAGCTAAGAGAAGAGTAAAGCAGTTTCTATCCTCTACCTCCCCAGTGGAAGCCTGGTTGCGTTCTCCAGCACAAAAGAGGGATCGAGTTATGTGGAAGACACCTTGAACTATACTATATATGTATAAGTATATTTATATATGTATATCTATATATGTATGTGTAAGTATATCTATATGTATATCTATATGTGTAAGTATATCTATATGTATATCTATATGTGTAAGTATATCTATATGTATATAGATATGTATAAACTTCTAGGTATAAATATATACCTATATATAAATATCTATCTACATATATATCTATATATAAATATCTATTTATATATACAAATCTATCTGTATAATTAACTAACTATATACAAATATCTATCTATATATAAATCTAATATACATATATATATATATATATATATATATATATATATATATATTGTCAAGGTATTACTAATTAAATGGTGAAATTTCGTTCAGTATTTACTATGAAATATAAAAAGAATTATGGTTTGGTTTAGTTCGTTCAAATGATTCGAATCAGGTTTACGTGTGCAGGTGCTTAGGCCTACTCTGTAGTTCCCACTTTTCGCCTGTCGAGGTAAGGTTGTTTCTGCGGGTTGGTTATCGCGGGTATTGAAAGAAATATTTAGTTGTGAAGTAAAAATGGTTTCTATTACTATTTTATATGTGATAATTTATAACTTATATGTTGTTAATATCAATTAACAGGACTCTACTCCAGCCAAGGGCCGGGCAGAGAGACGTCCATTTTGGTTCCTGATTGCTGACCTACGTCAGAGACATGTTAGAAGATTAACGATAGTTATTTAATTTGGTTAAGGGGTTTATCTGGTGCTCAAGTCGGCGAGACATATATAGCCACTTGAGGGGGAACTGTGTTTCGGCGTTGAGTTTTTTTGTTCTTTTTCCTGTGTGAACAATTTACGCAATAAAGCAAAGAAAAGTCGGTGAAATTTTATTTTCTACCCAGATCTGTAATTCTGAATATACACGTATATCCTAGAACCTTGACATATATGTATACACATATATATACATATATATATATATATATATATATATATATATACTCATTTTCTTTTTTTAAGTTTACATTTTTAAAACTTCTACTTTCTCGCACCAGGATATAAAAAAAGCTTGTGTATACTAAAATCCAATTCAAATTTCATTTCATCGTAAAACATCTTCCCAAAATATTATGATACATTCCATGGGATATTACAAAATCGTTCCATGTTCAACTTTACAATGTTTATGCAGAAAATACAAAATGTGACAGATTTTCTTTAAAAAAAATTAAATCCATTTGTATACCTTCATACACTTCAAACCACTGAATATTATGGTATCTAAGGTTTACCTCATTCTTTAACAAAATAAAAACATATAAAAATAACCTTAAAACTACTGATACCTTTGAAGAACAGGCTTCGTTATCATTCTTCCAAAGCAAGGATTTTTTTTTAAATCCACATATAACCCATTCCATTTCTGTTTCCTAACCAAAAACAATATATATATATATATATATATATATATATATATATATATATATATATATATATATATATATATATATATAATTTTTGCTTGACAGGTGAATATGAACACTACACTATAGCAACAAGTTAACATGATCTACAATAAGCATGCCACTATTAGATATACTTATTTTTCTTTTATCTTCAAGGCATTTCATCTAATAAGGCAACAAAATCTCCAACAGCTGATGAGGGAGTGGTCGTTCCATTTTCTGGCTCTACAATGATATCTCCTTCAATGGCAATAGCTTCAATGGGAACCAAACTGATTCTGCATTCATCTGGAGGTGGTAGAACATAACTCTGTGAAAGAGAAAGTGCCAATTAGTTATGAATACATAAAGACAATGGTATGTACGTATATATGTATATATATATATATATATATATATATATATATATATATATATATATATATATGAAATCGTTAATCATTCTCAAAACTTATTTTGTCTCTTCATAACCCTCTCACACTATCCAGTCCATGTTATGCTCACACATTCTCACTTTTTTTTTTTTTCCTTCTCCCTCTATTCCAGTCTACCTGCCTCACTGCCAACTAAAAATTTTCTTAATGTATTACCTTACTTATGGAGAACTCGGGCTGATAATAGTCATACACCTTAATAGTCCCAGGCTTGGCATCTTCAACATCAATTTCCCGAATTACTCGGAACTCCACACAAAGGTCTTCAGGTGAAAATTCATCAATGTAGAACATAACTTTGCTGCCATCAACTTCATAGTGTTTGATTATGCCAGTTCCATAACCAACAACTTGTTTAAGGTCCGCTTTATGTGGTATGTATCCAGAAATTAAGTTAAATTCCATAACAGCCATGTTGGATTTCTGATCAGATAATAAGTAGGAAGCACAAGCCTTAATCTTCTTTGTAATGCATTTCCTATCTGCGATTGCTTCAGTGGTGACTGACAAGGAAAAGGCATCACTTGCTGTAGCATCAGGAACATTATATCTCAGGACAGTCTGGGGGGAAAATAACAACTATGAAATACATCTGTTATGGCTTTGACCTGTATGAGCAGAGGTTCCCAAATAGGAGGGGAGAAGGGAGAGGAGATGGAGAGAGAGAAAAAGAGGGGGTGGGGAAGAAGAAAGAGAAGGGAGAAGGAGAGAGGGAGAGAGGGAGGGGAGGATAGGGTGGGGAGAAGGAAAGGGGGAAGAAAGAGAGGGAGAGGGAGAGAGAATGGGAGAAGAAGAGGGAAACAAGAAGGGGGAAGAAGATGGACAAGGTAAGGGAAAGAGATAAGGAAAGAAGCAGGCAAACAAAGGAATTGGGACATTAGATCTCTCTATTACTTAACAATCTACAAAACCTGTATCAAAATTAAACTGAATCTACATCCTTCTTGCAACACTCACCTGAACAAGGGCACATCCTTCTCCCTCCATGTCCAGAATGACATTGGAAGGTAGTGATGGCAGATTCACTTGCTGTTGAAGAAGTTTATTGGATTCGTCTACAAAGAATGCATGCTCAAGTGCTTCACCTTCCACAGTGATGACCAGGTTGACAGCCTCTTTCTTTTGGTGAGCCTCGAAACTCGCCAGAGCTTGGAGTGCAACAACAGTATCCTGTAAATGAAATTATATCAAATTCTCATTACTTTTTTCTCATTACGTGCTTATGTATACATGAATATGAATGTAAATGAAAATGAAAATGTAATTTGTAAATAACTGTTTCATCCTTTACCTCAATCTATGGTAGTCCCTTTTGGCAAGCTGCCAGGTAGATCAACAGACCATCTCAACCTCACCACAACAGAATTTATTTATTCTTTACCAATTCACACACATAGAAATGCACACACATTTTTTATCTTTTTATTTTTACATATGTACATATATGTACATAAATATTAATATACATATATAGACATACATATGTATACAAATGCATATATATATATACATATCTACATATAAATATAAAAATATACATATGAATATATAGATATGCATATACATACACACATATATATATATGCACATATATACCAACTGTACCCCACGATCCGGCACAAAGATCTGTTACAAAAGGCATCAAAATGAGATTCCAAAGCACAAGAGAGCGTTCATGTTTCATTACCATATAGTACAACTGGAAGTATCAGGGCTAGTACAGTGGTAACGTGTCGGCCTCTCATCCAAGGGGGCGGGGCGAATAGTTGCAATTGTCGCCTGGAGGTTACTGCTGTGGCTGGGCACCACGGCGGGTAAGGACTAAGCCGAGTCAGTACCAGCTGACACACTGTTAGCGAATCGACATTTGTCGACACAGGCCGGGCTCCCCTCATAGCCCGGGCGAGGCTCAGCTTCGCATATCGGATTTATATCCATACATTTATATATGCATATATATATATATATATATATATATATATATATATATATATATATATATATATATATATATATATATATATGCATTATATATATATATATATATATATATATATATATATATATATATATATATATATGCATTATATATATATATATATATATATATATATATATATATATATATATATATATATATATATGCATTATATATATATATATATATATATATATATATATATATATATATATATATATATATATATATGCATTATATATATATATATATATATATATATATATATATATATATATATATATATATATATATATATATATGCATTATATATATATATATATATATATATATATATATATATATATATATATATATATATATATATGCATTTTATATATATATATATATATATATATATATATATATATATATATATATATATATATATATATATATGCATTATATATATATATATATATATATATATATATATATATATATATATATATATATATATAAATGGATATATATATATGCATATATATATATATATATATATATATATATATATATATATATATATATATATATATATATATTATATATATATATATATATATATATATATATATATATATATATATATATATATGCATATATATACGTATATATATATGTGTTTGTGTGTGTGCATATATACCTGCATATATATATATATATATATATATATATATATATATATATATATATATATATATATATATCCATGTATTCCTATATGCATATATATATATATGCATATATATGTGTGTGTATGTAGGTAGGTACATGTATAACAACTTACCTGAATTGATATGAATCCTATGTATGTATGTGTATGCATGTGCGTATGTAAGTATATATGTATGTATATGTGTGCGTGTGTGTATTTATGTATGTATATGTGTGTGTGTGTGTGTGTGTGCATGTGTGTGTGCGTGCTTGCGTGTGTGCATGTGTGTATTTATGTATGTGTGTGTGTGTGTGCGCATGTGTGTGTGTGTGTGTGTGAATGCGCACGTGCGCATGTGTGTGTGTATGTGTGCATGTGCACGTGCGCATGTGCGTGTGTGTGTGTGTAGGTAGGTACATGTATAATAATTTACCTGAGTTGATATGAATCCTCCTTGGCCATTTCTCTGTGAAGATATCCATTTCACTATTTTTCTGGCTTGAAGCTCAAATTTGGGTGCATCTAAGGTCATCATTGAAAGAACTGCATAACCAGCTGTCTCTACAGCAACAGCTTGACTCTTTCCTTTAGTAGAACAAAAAAAATACAGTATTCATTATGACAGGAATAAGATAAGGAAATGTTTTGGTCTAGGATTGTATTAGGTATTAGATGATATACTCATATCAATGTAAATGAAGAACTAAATTTACAAAACATGTTCTACCACAACATAGAAATCCATCTTTCTTAATAATTCATTTTGCTGGGAATCATATAACACTGGAGATACAATACATACACATTATTATACAACCCTGCCACGCCAGATTTGAAAAAAGGCAAAGCTTAACCCATTGCCACCAGGGAAAATGAATGAAAAACGGGGAAAATGTTGTGCTCATTTTTTAAAATATTCTTGTGAAATGTCCCTTTTACTACATGGCTCTGCTAGTGCTTAGCCATAAAGGATTTCACCTTTCCTTGAATTGGTGCAAAAAAAAAAAATTTTACTAGTGCTATAAATATAGATGGTATTATTTTGATTACAAACATTATAATTACTATAATGTTATAAACATTTGTAACAGCTTTTTTTTTTTTTTTTTACTTTTGTCGGATTTCCTGGCTATCAACCAGCGGCATGTGGCCAAGGTTATTAAGCCAATATAAAGTCATAAAGTTTTGTCTCCCTTAAAAGCAATTACTTTATTCATTTTTTCATCGTTTGATAGATTTGATAATGTTAAATCTCTGTTTTTCATTCTGAAATAATTTATTATATGTTTTCGTTGGTTATTATACTTTATGCATGATGTTAAAATGTGATTTATTGTTATGTTGGTGTTACATAACTGGCATCTTGGAGGGTATTTCTTTTCTATGTAGGGAGTGAGGTGGTTAAGTCTTGAGGCGTTGACCCTAAGACGGGCCAACACCAACTCCCTTCTTTCCTTCCTGTGGGATGTGTCCCATGGTTCAATGGTGTTCTTGATTTTGTTTCTGAGTTGGAGGTTGGTCCACTTACTTTGCCACAAATGTATTTTTGCTTTTATAAGAGACACAAAACACCTGAGATCTGTACGAACTGTGGTAGTGTCCAGATCGCCAGTTGACCCGGCTAATTTGTCAGCCTGTTCATTGCCATGGATACCAGAGTGGCCTGGCACTCATATTAGCTTGATTGATTTGTTGGCACTTTGTAACTTACGAATGGTATTACCCAGCAATTCATTTTTAGTGGTTTCTAAGGATTTAATAGTTTTAAGTGAACTTAATGGATCTGAAAAAATAACTATTCTATCGTGGGTCGTCGATAGTGCAAAATCGATGGCTTAAAGTTTAGCAAGACAGATCGATGTATGAATCGGCAGTCTGAACTTTATTTCACATTCAGTCGACCATACACCCGCACCCACACAATCTTCTGTCTTGGAGCCGTCGGTATATATATGAAAAAAGTTTAGATGTTTAATAAGGATCTCTCTGAACCTCTGACGTACCTCCATCTCCGGCGCCATGGCCTTGGCTGATGAAAGCCAGGCTTCCATGATAGAAAAAATGGGGGTTTCCCATGGCGCTATATTTGATTGAACCAAGGTATCGATGGTAGAGAGATGTATACCGACTTTCTCGACGAGGTCGTGGAGTCTTGTGGCAAAGCTTAATGCCTACATTGCCATTAGGGTGGTTCGGGTCTCGAGCCACCTTCGCGGCATAGGTCAGGGCTAACTGGCTGCGTCTGAGTCGGAGGGGAGGTACTCCTGACTCCACCTCAAGACGCTCGATCCGAGTACATTTCAGGGCTCCAACACACACACGCAAACAAGCATCCAAACCTTTCAAACTTGTTCTTGATGCCGAATCATACACGATTGACCCATAATGTACTTTAGACCTAATCAGGGCTTTCTATATCATTAGCAAATACTGTCTATCAGCTCCCATTTATTACCAGAAATGCACTTTAATAAATTTAGTGCTCTTTGATATTTATTCTTTAACTGACCAATGTGGTTTTTCCAATTGAGTCTACTATCAAAACGTAGCCCAAGAAATCTAGCAGAATTTTGAATAGGTATTGGGTGGTGGTCTAGAGTTAGCCTGAGGTTCGGCTTCCTCCTATGTGAAAAAAATTACCCCAATACTCTTTCTAATAGAAAAATTAAAACCCCACTGGAGGCCTCAGTTATGAATCATATCCAGTGCCAAGTGGATGCGATTTGCTGAGAATTCTGCATTATTGCTGGAGTGCCATAATGCGCAATCATCAGCGTACAGTGAGTATTTAAGATTCCGAGGAGGAGCTGGTAAGATGTCATTTATCATACATAGAAATAATGTTGGTGACGAGACACTTCCTTGTGGGACCCGTTTGCCTGAACAAAAATGTCCGAAAAAGTGACGTCAGAAAATAATTTGACAGCAAACGTTCTGTCTGAAATGAATTTTTGAGTAAAACAAGGCAAGTTTCCACGTAATCCAAAAGCATAAAGTTTTCTGAGTAGGCCATATTGCCATGTCATGTTGTAGGCTTTTTCTATATCTAAAAATACTGAAATCAAATCTTTTTTGGCAATTGCCTCTTGAATTTGACTGTCCAGCTTTACTAGTTGATCGAGAGTTTGGCGTCCCTTTCGGAAACCACACTGCTAGTCAACTAGTAAATGACTGGTATTCAAAAAATGTGCTATGAGTTTGGAAAAGTGTGGCTTTTCCAAATGTCACTATACACTTCTAGCAACTTAATCATGTCATCATGATTAAGATGCTTTATCATCACATATCGAATCTCATCGGGGCCTGGGGATGTTCCTCTACAGGCTTCTAGGGATCGGACAAGCTCATTTATTGTAAGATCTTTATTGTAATCAAAGTCATCTCCTGTGGCAAAGTGAATTGGTTGCAGCTCAGCCGCTTCCTTGATCGGCAGGAAGGCGGGATGGTAATTGTCTGAGCTGCTTGTATGAGAGAACTGCCCGGCAAGTGCATTAGCAATGTCTCTAGGTGAATCGATATTAATGCCCTCTTCAATGATGTTAATGATTTTGAAAGATTTTTTTCTTATGTATTTTATTGATAGTGGACCAAACCTCTGATGTTTTTGTGTTACCGTTTATTGTAGAGACAAAGCTCCGCCAGAAGTCTCTTTTTGCTTGTCTTATTACTCTAAGAGCCCTAGCTCTTGCTAGTTTGTAATTCCAAAAGTTCTCATTAGTAATGTTATTTTTGAAAAATCTGTAGGCCTTATTGCGTCGGCACAGTGCCCTGCGGCAATCTGGTGTCCACCATGGAACTCTATGCTTAACACTATCTGTCGAAGTTCATAATCGAATTCTGAATATTGTTTACTTTATCATCAATGGTTTCTCCAACTAGTTCGAGCTTGACGCTCACAGGAGTAGCCCGGATGGGAAGGTGTGCTCCGGACTGTGATTCGGTATCATCCTCCTTATGTTGTTTATGCTGGGTTGTTGCAGCCATTTGATCGACCAAGTTAGACAGTTGATAAACTTTAATATTCAATTCTTTCACAGTTTGTTTGAGTTCGGCAATTTCCTTATCCTTAGCTGCAAGCTGTTGACTGACATCACTTGTACTATGGGTGTTGTTAGTTAGTGCTGCAGCATAGGAAGTGTCGGGTTTGTGTGTCAAACTTTCAACTTTCCTCTTAGCTTCAGTATAACTAACATCATGTTTTCTCATATATGCTAATGCCTCAGTCTCCTTCTTCAGGATGCTGCACTCGGCAGATCCTGATTGATG